TAGCCAGTGAATAAATACATCAAATAGCTATGCTCTTGGCCACTGTAGACATTATTCAGCCCTTGGAAAGTTCTCACTTATTGCTGGTTTTTGTTTTCACAATGCAAATCCAAAATTCTCTCTATTCCTTCAACTTCATGACAGCTTTTCCTCAGTCAACCTCCTTGACAGAGTCAAGAGGCCTTCCATTTGGGCACTGCTGACATCACTCACCCTGCGATCTGTGTATATACTGTACTTTGCCCTTACAAAGAAATCAAATAAATTCTTCCATTTCTTCCTTCATTATACTGCTGAAGTCCATTGTCATCCTTCACCCAAATTATCAGTCTCAATTTTCCACCTTGGTTTATCAGTCAGACCCCTCTCTGTAAATACATAAAACCTATATTCTTCTTATCAGGCCCATTCTAAACATCCTATCACTTCTGAGGCTTCCTCATCTCCTCTGAAACATGCATCACTAGAAATACTTACAACTCAAAGGCTCCTGACTAACATTTTATTTATTCTGCACTCTGCCTATGTAAGTGCTGATGATTTCCATTATAAAGTTTGTTGCATCTCTCACAAGCTCCACAGCATTCTCTTGCTCCCAGACTTCCTAGCTACTGATATTACCTACAAGTTTTGTAAAGGTGATTCAGGAATACAAAAATTGAGGAGGGATTTGAAAACCAAGGATTTCTAGAGTTCTCAGCACCCTGTTCTGTTGAAACCATTTAATTTCTTTGCTGAGATCTTCTCTCCACAAGACATTCAAAGAGCAGCTATGTAGGTTCCTTTGGAAGTAATGCCTCCTATTTATGCTCATAGAAACTACAACAGATACAGTGAGCAGAAGACGACTACTTGATAGAGAAAATTCTCCACAACAATATAGTATTTTTCAAGATAATCACCATTACTAGCTATGCATTTTTGCCAGTGGTGAGTAAGAACCTGCATGCCATTCTTGTTAAAATCCGCACTAGTAGAGGTGACCCACTCTTTCACAGCTGCTATGACAACACCACTGCTAGGAAAGTGTTGCCCACACAGTCCATCTTTCATCCACCCAAACAGATCAAAGCCAGAAGGCAAAGGCAGACTATACAGTGGGTATAGTAGAACAGCTCAGCCAAGAACAGCAATGTGCCCCATGATCTTCAGACTGGTCAGAGGCCTGGCATTATCTTGGTGCAGAGAAAGGTTGCCTTCTTCTCCTGTCCGACTCTGGAGGTTTGAGCCTTCAGTTTGGTCAGCATCATGACACGGCAGTCAGACTTAATGGTTTGTCCAGGTTGTAGAAAATCCCAAAAAAGGATCACACATTTCCTATGCCAAAAGACTGCATATCAATTTACCCAATGAGGGCTGTGTTTTGAACTTTTACTCCAATAGGTAATACATAAACTGCCTTTTTGACTCCAGCTCATTTCAGGGAATTAAATCCAGGAAATTGTCACCTTCGGCCTTATATTGGTTCAATATATCCTGACAAACTTGAATACTCTGTTATTTCTGTTCCCATGTGAGCATTCATGGGAGCCATCTGGCACAAACTTTGTCTCCAACATTGCCACCACTGTTTCCAATGCACTGATTCAGCTCCACACACAATTTCCTGGTTGTAATCCACCAATTAATGTGGATGAGCTGTTCAAGATGCTCTTCATTTTGTAGTATGCACGGCTGTCCAGAATATGGCTTGCCTTTCACATTGCAGTCATCAGTGCTGAAAAAACACCACCCACTGCCTCACTGTGCTCACATACATTGTTTGGTCAACATTCCGCAAGCACCGATGAATTTCAATTACTTGTCATTTTTTCTGCATGGAGGATTTCAATGATACACCTTTGCTTCATGCACACTTCCATGTAAGACTGCCATCTGTTACACAGCAACAAGAGGTAAGGGAATATTGGTGGGAAGGTTTAATCTCTACTGCCATTCTACCAACATCAACCTCTGAGGTCATGGGTCAACAAAGTAAATTAGGAGGCATTACTTTCAGAGCAACTGCCATATAAATACACATATATATATACATACATATAAGTATTGTACACTTTCAATAGTTAACCTAGCCATTTATTCTACTAATGAGTTCAAAGTCACATGAATCCACACCTGACTTGCTTTAAACACTGAAGTAATGGTTGCATCTTATATTACTGTTTAATAATGGGCTGAATAAACTGCTACAGCAGCATAGTTTTGCAGTAAGTATTCAGATAGATATATGTAACAAAACTACAAAACTTAGAGCTCCTCACTTGTTAAGGAAGAGTGGTGAAAGACTTCAGATACAGAAAAAAATAATTACAAATTGGGCTCTTTCAAATTATATATTTATTCCTCAGCAAATTAAAAAAAAACTTTATTTCTCAGCAACTTAAAATACGCTGCTTTTTCTTCTGCTACAGTTTATCCATAAGAAGCAAAGGTAAAGTGGAACTTACTTTTAATTTACACTCCATTCTTGAGCAGAATTACTTACTGACCTCAAAATAAGAGTTTTGAAAACAAGCAAGGAGTCCAGGCTAGCCTCGGAAAACAAAAATGCATCCAGGGCATATGTGCTATAATTCCTCTAGCACTTCTTCATTTGCAGCATTTACCTTACAAGACTTGGAGATTTAACAAAGCCCAAGAGGCATACCCCTAGGAGGTCACGTTAAAAACAGATTTTATCATTTGTTTGCAACAACCTAAATCTTCATGTAGGCTTTGCTTTTAGGGAAGTGATACTAAATTATTTGCAAGCTAATTTGTCATAACAGGCCCACTGTAAAAGATGTTGCTCAAAGGCATACCTGCCATATATTTCTAAATGGATTAGAAGTCAATTAATGTTTAAAAAGCTCTGGGCATTTTGTTTAATGAAGAGATTAACTGTAATGCCAAAAAAACCCTTCTCATCTGTCTGAAATACATGTTGCTACATGCTTTACAGTTACTTAAGCACAAAAGTGAGAAAAAGGCAAGGCTCCATGCACATATCAATTCCTCGCTGTTTAGAAGACAGGCAAATGAGTTCATTTTAACAGAAACTGTAGTTGTTACCTAGTTTGAAAATGCAGATAGAACTAAAATAAATAAATAAATAAATAAATAAATATAAAACCAAGGTTACATATGCTGATCTCCTCCAAACTGACAGGATTCCAGAGCATTTTTGGTCCATGGATGCTTTAACAAACATTAAAGTGGAGGTACACACAGAAGGTGTGATGGTACAGCATATGTGGAAAGAAAAAAGTTAAGTATTGAGAATTCATATTTAAGTTGTCTATATTGAGAAATTTAGATAAGAAACAGTAAAAGCCCGTGGTCCTGAAAAGGATTAGAAAGAAGCACTTCAGAAGATGAGTCAAGGAAGAAAAGAGTTAAGTGAGAACAGACAGAAAGGCAGCAGCAGAGCTCAGCTATTCAGATGGACTGATGAAGTTTAAAAGTTCTTATCAATCTTGTTCTGATAAAAACTTATTTGTATGTTACTGTATCCTGCTGTGTGACAACTTGTGCACCTGGTATTGTGTCAGTTCCCAAGGAAAATGGCAGGACCATAAACCTGAAGTGAAACACTTGAATCTCACATAAAAAATATAAGTTAGCAGACAAATGCAAAGAGGAACGTAACAGTGAATAGAGAAGATGAAGAGGCCGATTATGATCAGATAACTGACAGCCAGAAACAGCAGCTTGCAGAAGATGCGTAAATCTCAGTGACAGAAATGGAACTTGCAATCAAGACAGTAGGATAAGGTCATTCAAGGATAGAGTCCAACACAAAAGGAGCACCAGGAGGTGGAGATTTGCTAAGCAAAGGGAAGAAAAAAGAAAACAGAGACGTTTCATGCAGATGATCACAGTTAAATCATCTTTCAAAAATACTTTTTTTTTCTTTTGACTGACACTTTAAAAAGTTCTAAGCAACAGAGACTTAATCTAATCTTTTTTAGGCTTTTTAAAGATATTCTAAGAAATTGTCATAAGCAAGACAAAACATGGCCAAATTCCTTTTCTTTAACAATAACAAAAAAGAGACTGATTTAATTGATCATATTCAAACTACTTATACAAGAATTTGTTAGAAGACTGAAGTTACCAGACCACACTGAAATGAAACCTAAAAGCTAGAAACTAACAGTAGCTGCATTTACACTAGCAAAAGAGAAAAAAAAAAGGAAATGAAACTCTTGTAAATTCACACAGTCAAATTACTTCACAAATGTGCCAACCCACAAGATATCAGACTTGATCATAAAGCAGCTCCATTGCAAAGTATTTCTCTACATGAGAAAGATCAAGCTGTGAATCTTCTATTCACCTACATCTTAAATTCTCACTTATCTACAAGTATCACTCAGCATTCATTTTATGACACACTCTTAGAATACTAAATTTCTCCAAAAACTTCTTTTGATAAAACCTTCCATCATATCTCCAGTTACTGAACCCGTTTCCTGTGACAGAACTTGAACAAAAGAAAACATTACTCATTTACAACTGTAGGTAGTACAAAGAAAAAATGTTCAATATTAAGGAATAAAACAAATTACTTCATTTATAGTAAGAAAGTCATACATGGGATATGAAAAAACATACTGTCCATGACATCAATAATAGGCTCCCAATTCAGACTTTGGACTTATCAAACGTAGAATATACATAATACAAAGTATCGTGACTTGTCACATATCTCACAAAAACAGTTTCTCTTCACCCCAGAATGAAACTAACAAACTTCACGTAAGCTAGTCCAATTTATGATCAGTCGTAAATGCCCTTGGAAGAACTGCCCATGCATTTTTATTCACCTTTTGAATGATTTACAGTATTGCAACAAAGCTGCTAATAATAAATTCACCAATTTCACCTAAATTTAAAGAGTTGGAGGAAAAAATATCTTTAAAATGTTCGGTCACATACTTCAAACTATTTGAGTTTGTGAAAATACCATTCCTTAAGATTACAAACAGTTAATAATCGTGTGAAGCATTTGTACTTACTTGTCTCCAAAGAACTTCCTCCAGAAATCTGCAGCATCTGCTTTGGTGATACGAAAGTTATCACCCTGGAATTGGCCATTTGGAAAAATAGCCTTGATTTCTGCTAGCATGTGGCTGAAGATGAGGGACAGCTTAGTTAAGTTTCTCCTGTGGATTTAATAGAAAAAAGAAAAAAAAAAAGTAATTTTTAAACTTGAATAGATCATTCAGAATCTCATCTATCTTGTATATTTGTGCAAAAATCACCATCTGACAAAACAGAAACATGGTACTTTCTACTGAAAACACATCAAACAAGTACAAAGCAGTAGTATGTGTTTGCATGCACTTCTCAGTGCGTATTTATCATAGGTCTCCCTGAATATAAATCAAAACCAAAAGAAAAACCCCATAAAATTTATTTTTATATGTGACATCAAAACTATTTTAGTCCAGGTTTCTAAAAATATAAATATGGCACATAACTAGCTTTACTCTTCTTTCCTATGACAATTGTATTCTTTTTATTCTATCCAGCTTTTTCATACTGGAGCCACTTCCTATTTTTCTCTTACATGCCTCCTCTTTAGTTAAAGCTTGCTTTCAATTTTCACTGCCACGTTAGAAACAAAATCAAACTTCTTTTTTGGCTACCAGTCCATTTTCATAAGATATCCAGACTTTATGTCAGTTCAGCAAAAAAAATGTATTTTTTTGCATAGAAATCTCAGTTAGTGAAAATAACACTGCATGTTAGATCATCCTTCACTACAGAAAAAACTGTGGGAGATGGTAGGAAGATGAGAAGGAAGAATGATGAAGAAATCTTTAGGAGATTTTCCTTCTGTAGATTTCTTTGGATATGCTAGCAATAAAAAGAGATACTTCCCCATTTGATACATTCAACAGAAAGGACCCAGGAGACTGACCAGCTTCTAAAACAGAATTAGTGTTTTTACATATCTTTAATAACACAGAAATGCTCTGCATCAAACCCATTCATCTGTCATGATCTCCAGTACTACTTCACAAAGCTTCAGACATTTTAATGAAAAATCAAAATAAAATTATGCTTATCAACCATGCAGTTAATAACTGCTTACATACAATATTTTAAATAAATTCAAAGTTATTCATGAGTCCCTAGCCATATTAAAAAAAAAAAAAAAAACAAAGCCAAGATTCAAGTGACAGATTTTTACACGTGCATACCAAACAGGTTCCAAAATACAAATATCAATTCTTCATTCTCAAAATAGCAGAACTGACTTGCCAGGGTCTTCCTAAAAGAACTCTCATTTTAGCATTGAAGTAGTAATTACTTCAGCCAAATTTTTATGCAACTTATAATAGAGATTCCTGCAGAAGCTGTACTGCAGATCTCCCTACAGGTTTTGCTATGAGGGAACACAGGATAAAGACAGCTATTTTGAAAATACAAGCAACTTTAGAAATTTTTAAAAAGGTCTGAATCTAGTGAGGAGGAAGAGTATATCCATCAGAACGACTGTAGGACTAATGCTTTAAGTCCTTTAATTCCTCCAGTATAATCAGATGTCTGTAATTACGATGCTCAACTGTTCCTCATTTTCTGGATTTGTTCCTTGCTATCCCCCTTCCTGTTTCCTTTGTACTTTAATTGCACACACATGTTCTTTATTATTTTATTCCTCAGAACTCAATCCTGATGCACAGAAAAAGCAACAGCTATTTTAATGTGGCTTCATCAGCCTGACTTAGACTCAAGATCAGGCAAGAACCCTCCTATGCCTAGGACGGATGAGAACATCATTCAGCACAAGTTTTAACAGAGCTCTCCTTTGGCTGACACACAATGTGTATGTCTACATTGTCTACAGTTGCAATTTACTGTGCTGCGGGGGTTCTTTTCAGGTATGAATTTGCCAAGTGAACTATTATATTACAAAGCTTGTTGGATTTGTGAGGCTTCAGCAAACTAAAGGATGAAGTCATGCAATGCTCCACCTGGGGCACCCTCCCTGCACTGTCAACAGAAGGCACTTCCTTGCCTGCAGGGCAGCATGTGGCCGCACACACATGCACTGCCTGATAGGCACAGCTGCACGGTGTGGGACCAAATCAACTATTGACAGGAACTTGCCAGCAAACCTCCAGAACAATCATGACAGGACTGCATCTGAACCGCAAACTCTGGCTTGAACAAGCCCAGTCATGACGTGTATAAGCACACTTCTGCTTCAAGTCAATTAGATAACGAGGAGTTGAGAGAAAACTGTCTCTGGTCAATGTTCATATAAATGGGAAAAAATAGTTTAGCATCAAACTAAGATATCTTTCTTTCTGATTGCAAAGCTGAAACTTGACACAATTTAGAACCTTATCTGAGCCTGAACATACACCACAGCGTGTATAAATAGCAAATTCTCAATCATTTGTATATATATGGTATATACATATATATAGCTGTTTCTTCCTTAATTATGGTTCTTCCTGTACTAGATGATTACTGCAAGTTCCTCATATCAAATAATGATAAATTATGTTGCCTTAACATTCCACTTACATATTTTTCTTCAAAACTGTAAAGCACATACTGTACCCTTTCTGCTTAGATATGTTTACATGATACCAGAGTTCAGTTACCTACGGGACATACAAAACTCAGCAATTTCAGGAATGCTTTTCAAGAGTAATGCAAGGTACAGAGATGAAGACATCAGGACAAGCCTCCAATTCTCTCTACCCGTGTACTTTTCTCACCTGACCATGGTCATCCGTTCTAGCATAGGTACTTTAGCTATTCTGTGGAGTGCCTTCCCAGACATCACAAGGTGCATATAACCACCTGGATCCCTCTGAAGCTCTGTTCTCTATGTTAAGATAATTCCTTTTTCTTCCCTCATATCAAGATGAGGATCAGTATCAAAACTTCTCCAGCTTATTCCCCATGCATAAGCGTAAGACAAGGTATTCAAATTCTAACTATATGAAAACTAACAAGTAAACCCACCAATTTTGTCTTGTTGGTGAATAATCCTAAAGAAAGACATTGTGGTCAATTTTAGCCACCCATATTGAGTCTCACTGACAACACAAAACAAAGGAAACCAATCCTGCCCAAGTCAGGTCAGCGTCTCTAACTTAATGCTGGATTGTTTTCTCATTACAGTGTGGAATATTGCAATGCAGAGCACAATGTGAACACAACCTTGTACTGGAGTCTGATGGCACAGATTCTGATTGGCAGAATCAAGCTCTGGAGTAACCTTTTGACATAAATCCCAGCAGGGGAGAGACATCTTAATAGATCATACAGGAGCAACACTTCATTTAAAAAGCAAAAGTTATCCAATTAATAGGGAAACAATGGTTTTAATGCCTGAGAAGCTGCATTCAGGGTTTACGGTTACATTATACTTCCAGTGGCAACCTGGAGCAAGCTAAAGGTGCGCTTTCTTTCCTCAGCTGTTTTGTGCCTGATTTAGAGTAAAAACATCTACTTCATTTATGTACAGAGAATGGGTTTCATGCTGATGAGAACAATCTTATTTGATTCAAATTCCTGAAAAATAACACTGCTTTGTTTTAGAAAATTGAGCTGACATAATCATTTTTCACAATTTAATTGCTATTTAATTGTGGTAAGATTTAAGAATATTTTAACTGTGAATTACAGTAGATCAACTGCATTTTATGTAACAGATATTGTTGGTCTCTTCCACATTATCTGCAACATATTCAACACCTGTTACTGGATGATTTCTCTATAATTCATGGTTAGCTTTGCTAACTCTCTTCTGCTAACTCAAGCTGATGCTATACAACTCAACCCTCTTGCAGAAGTTTACTTCTGAAGTATCAGTTCTTCAATCATACTCAGTTGTTTGTCAGACATGTTTGTACAGTTAATGTCGAGCATCAAATTTGCGTATTCTGGACAATGTATTTAAAGCCTGCTGTAAGCTCTGAATTCACTCCAGAATGCCTAAGATACAAAGATGAAAAATCAAATTTTCAGTTGGCACAAACTTACAGCTTGGATCAGTAAACATATTTTGGTTAGTCAGAAGAAGGAAACATTTTCTTAATTTCAGAATTACCTCCTTTTGAAGTAATAAATCAACAGCAAGTTTTCTGAAAAACAGATGGTAAAGACTGAAAAGAAGAATCTTGAGTTTGTTCACTTTTTTGTAAAATGTATCTTCTGAATCATTTTTCTCTTCAACTTTACAAAGTGAGGGTAGGCTAGAGATTGCTGCAATGATTTCAGAACAGGAGTTTTCACATGCCCAGCTATAACCAATTTGAAAATAAGGCTCACTAATGGAATTATTACAACATCCTTGCCATAACCAGGCCAGGCTGCTAGAGCAGAAGCATCTAGCAGTAGAAGGTCTGAAGCAGACCTGTTCTCCTGGATCTATAAAACAAGAAAGCGAGGCATGACCAGCATGCAATAACACAGTTAAGTTTTGGATGTTTCAACTTCCTAGCTGCTGCATGAAAGCTAATTTTACTTTTGGAAGGCAATATGGTCTAGCAAACAGAATTGGATAGGGAATTAGGCTGTGTCATTTCCTTTCAGTCACTACCCTGATCAATGAGGTGGGGTGAACACCTGTGTCCTGCATTTACTGCCTGCATATGAGGAGGAATGAAATAAAATACTCAGAGCACCAAACACACAGTTGACAGAATCAGCATATAAATAAATACACAAAGCAAAGAATACACCTGGATCCTACATCCTTTGTAATTACTGGATTTCACAAACTATGATCAAAACATAGTGATTTTTAGCAATCTCTAGCTAGATGTCACCCTCAAAATTGAGAACGCATAAGCCTGCTTAAATATTGTTCTACTTCCCTGCTTGCAAATCGCTTTGTCCCATGAAAGTGATTATTTTTGTTTTGAAACTACATACATTTCTAGTCAAAAGAAACATGATATATTAAAAAAAAAAAATAATAAAAAAATCAGACTGTTCAACTTTTCAGAAACATTATTTCAATATCTCTGCCCCCACATACATACTCCCTTTTTCTACGCAGCTATCTGCTATAACAAACAATATATCAAATCTCCAAGTTCATAATGTATCTCAGTTGCAGGCACAGAAAAAAACCAGCCTTTTTTAGGGCTAGAAAGAGATCTGTTTGGCAAACTATTTTCCAGATAGATCT